CCACTTGTTCATTCCTTCACCCATTTGTTTATTCGCTCACTTTCATTCATTCACGCACCCATTCGTTCATTCACTTATTCATTCGTTCATTCACTTATTGATTCGTTCATTCACTTGTTCATTCGTTCATTCATCCATTTGTTTATTCGCTCACCCTTTCATTCACTCATTCATTCATTCGCTCGTTCATTCATTCATGGGCTCAGCCATTCATTCACTCACTCATTCGTTTATTGGTTTATTCATTCGTTCATTCACTCAGTCATTCGTTCACCCACTCGTTCATTCCTTCACCCATTTATTTGCTCACCCTTTCATTCATTCACTGGCTCATCCATTTGTTCATTCGTTCATTCTTGTATCACCCATTCATTCCTTCATTCCCACACCATTCCTTCCTGCATTCACTCACTCCTGCATTCATTCATTCACTCATTTGTTAATTCATTTGTTGGCTCACCCATTCATCCATTCATTTGTTCACACACCCATTCATTCATTCGTTCACCACTCATTCATTAATTTGTTCATTCCCGCACCATTCATTCATTCTCGCATTCATTTGCTCATTCATTGGCATGCACATTCGTTCATTCATTCACCCATTGACTCACCCATTCATTCACTCAATCACTCATTTGTTCATTCATTCGCCAATGGGGATCTGCAGTCCTACACACCTGAATTTGAATCCAGCACCCCGCCCCTGCCCCAGCCTTTCCTGCCTATATGACTGGGCCAACAGACTTACCAGTTTTGGACTTCACCTTCCTCCTCTCTAAAATGGGTTTCATAATAAATAGTTCCTACCGCGGAGGGTTACTGGGAGGATGCTGAAGTACTACCTGCGCAGCACTCAGTCGACCAGTGCCTGGCATACAGTAAGCGCACAATAAAACTGTGACACAGAAAGAGCTAGCTGGCCCTGGCGCAGCTCTGACATTCTCTAGCCATTTCTGGTCCATTTCCGCCACTCCTGGGGCCGCAGCTCCTCCAGCAGAGGAGGAGCCTTGGGTTCCTCTTGGTCACTGCCGCGTACCCAGTGCCTGGCCCACGGCAGGTGCTCCGCAAATATGCATCAGATGAACACTTGGGGGAGATGCTCCTTCGTGCAATAAGTATTTATTGAGCACCTACTGGATGCCACGCAGCATTCGCAGGCCTGGAGACTCTGGAAGCACAGCCAAGACCCTTGCAGGCAGCTGGCATTTTAGAAGGAGCCCTGGAGGTCAGGAGCGGTGGCTCATGCCTCTAATCCCAGCACTTTGGGAGGCTGAGGCGGGCGGATCACCTGAGGTCAGGAGTTCGAGATCAGCTTGACCAACATAGTGAAACCTTGTCTCTACTAAAAATGCAAAAATGAACTGGGTGTGGTGGCGGGCGCCTATAATCCCAGCTACTCAAGAAGTGAGGCAGGGGAATTGCTTGAACCCGGGAGGCAGAGGTTGCAGTAAGCCGAGATGGCGTCACTGCACTCCAGCCTGAGTGACAGAGCGAGACTCCATTGCAAAACAAACAAATAATAACAAAAACAAACAACAACAACAAAAAAAACCGAGGACTTCCAGAGCCAGAATTTAAGAACAATGACCCAGCAGACAGGCGACAGGGGCTTGAATTCAGTTTGGTTATGTCATCCTTGCTGTGTGACTTTGAGCTAATCGCTTTCTCTCTCTGAAATTCTCCCTCTCAATTTCTTAACTGTTAAATTAGATAGATAATGGGACAGGCACCAAGGAGGCACTGTGGGCATTTGAGGCTGGATCTTTCTCCAGGGTGGGGCTGTCCCGGGCACTGCAGGGTGGTGAGCAGCATCCTTGGCCTCCACCCACTCCACATCCGGAGCACCTCCAAGTTGTGACAACCACAGATGTCCCAACACTGGCAAGTGTCCCTCCATTGACACACTGACCACTGGCTTAGGGCTGGGTGAGCATTGAGCATTCATTCACATGTTGCTGTGGCCTGTGATTATTCTTAGACATTATTTATTTATTTATTTCTTGAAAAGGAGTCTTGCTCTGTCGTCTGGGTTGGAGTACAGTAGCATCATCTCAGCTCACTGCAACCTCTGCCTCCCAGGTTCAAGCAATTCTCCTGCCTCAGCCTCCCGAGTAGCTGGGATTACAGGCACGCGCCACCACGCCTAGCGAAATTTTTTTTTTTTTTTTGAGATGGAGTCTCGCTCTGTTGCCCAGGCTGGAGCGCAGTGGCACAATCTCAGCTCACTGCAAGCTCCGCCTCCTGGGTTCATGCCATTCTCCTGCCTCAGCCTCCCGAGTAGCTGGGACTACAGGCGCCCACTGCCACACCCAGCTAGTTTTTTGTATTTTTTAGT